AGGGACCATGTCTTATCTTTTGTATCTTCCACACTGTTAGAATGTCTGTTAGCAAGATTTTTTAAGTAGGGACCATGTCTTATCTTTTGTATCTTCCACACTGTTAGAATGTCTGTTAGAGTACTGGGCATACATTACGCATTAAATAAGTATTTGGCAAATGGGATAATTGGAGAACATTGAACACATTTATGGATTACTGGAGGGATGTTTCATTTGGGAAATATAGTTTCTATTGTGGGAGTTTACGTTCGCTGTAAGTAAACTTGCCCTGATTGCTTTGTAGCTTCTACTCTGCTAGGACTAGGTAGGAAAAACACCATCACCGCACTGAAACAAAAGCAAACCCCCATCCACTCTTTCTACAGTGTGCCCCCTCTACAGCTCAGGCACAGGCTCCTGTGACAGGGTGAGTCTTTAAGCTTGTGTTTTTCCCTGTGCCACTCCTGCCCACACTCCACTATAGCCAAATAATTTACCATTTTAAATAGTGGTGCTTGAGAAAAGCTTTTCCTCCCTAAGCCCCAAATCACGTGTATGGGCCGAAAAACCTCCCCTGCATTGCAAACTGCTAAGCATATTTCACATGCCTTCCCAGCTGTTTTATGTCAGTTCCAGCCCACCCTTTTATTCACAAAGATTCAGTGAAATATGGTGCTGGCTCATTTTTAAATTAACTGTCCTCATTATTGTTATTGCCTACTTTTGCTTGAGTGAAATATCACGTTTTCTTATATTTAATTTAATAAAGTACACATTTCAGAAGAACCAAAAAACTGCTGTAGGGGGTCACAGCAAGAATACTTCACACTATGTACTGTCTCTGAAGGGAACCCTGAGGGAATAGGGGTGACAGTAGGGGGGAAAAGATTGGATTTTACCCCCAAATGTCCCCCACTTCTTTAACTGTTTTTTTTTTTATTCTTTTTATTCATGTGCTTGGGAAAAGTATTTCTGATCCTTTCTGTTGAAAATGTTTACTATAACCAATGTACATGCTGGCAGGTCTGTATGGAGTAAGTTCTGTGTAAATTCTTCTAACAGTATAAAAAGGAGAAGGGAGTGATCACACCAGGAAAAGGGGATCGTGCTTGTGGTATCATGGAATCTGGTACTTATCTGTGTGCATCAGAAAGGCTGTTTGCCTGGACGCAGCATGGCCAGGACAGTTAATCATCAGATGAGGTGGCAGAGGAGTATTTGTCTTGTAAGCAGCTGAGCCTGCTGGAAACATATTGTCTCGGGTTTGTCTCTCATCTAAAGCAATTCATTACTCACCTACAAGTGCTGTCACAGATCCCAGCAGCTGTGATGATCGGCTTCCTCAGTACTCCTGACATAAATAAAAAGAGAAAATGTTTTCAGTGCTGTTCAAGATTTAAAAAAAAGGAAAAGGAGAGACAGATAATAGAGTTGATTTTCTATTCTGAAATATAACATATCTTGTGATTCAATAGTTTAAAGGAAGTTTCTTCTTGTTTAAATTGAAGCTTAAAAAGCTTATTACCAAAGAATAATGTAACATATTAGCCTCGTTTTTGTTGAGAAATACTTCAAATAGTGTGGAGAGGAGATACTGTTTATTCTCTTGCAGCAATCATAAATTCCTCCTCCTCCCTCTCTCTCTCTCTCTCTCTCTCTTTTCCACACTGTCAGTTTCTCCCTCAGCACCGGATCTGTCTCATCAATGAATGAACATGTTGCTGTAGTTCTCACTTAATAAAATAAAGCCCGCCTTTGGCCCATGCCACCCTTGCACGTCTATCCCGTTGCATTCGTCTCTTAGTAGAATTCCTTGAAAGAGGAACCTCTACCTCCCCCCTTCCCTTGCCCCAACTCTGTAACTTCCGGTCATCGCTTGGCACAGTCTGCTCGTGGCCCCTGATGGAACTGACCTTTCTCCTACTCGTCACTGATTGCCTGCTTCTCTTCCCTGCCTCTCTGCGTGAATGTCTCAGGCCTTGGCCCTTGTATTCGTTTTCTATTGCAGTGTAACAAACTACCACAAAACCGAGCAGCTCAAAACAATACAAGTTTAGGGCCGGCCCGGTGGCGCACTGGATAAGTGCGCCGCTTGGGAAGAGCGGCGGCGCTCCCGCCCGAGGGTTTGGATCCCACATACAGAC